TTGGGAATTTGGGTTGATTCCATGTCTTTCCTATTGTGAATAAAACAGCAATAAACATGGAGGTACAGGTGTCTTTTTGAATCAGTGTTTTTGTGCCTTTGGGGTAGATACCTAGGAGTGGGGTTGCTGGGTCATATGAAAGCTCCATTTTTAGCAGTTTGTGAAGAATTGCTGAGGACTTTAAAAAATTGTCTGTTTCTTTGCCTCCTCCACCACTACCATTTTTTTAAAAGATTTATTTCATTTATGCATACAGAACTGGGGTACAGGCCAGAGGTACAGGCGCGGTGAAAGGATTCACCAGAGACAGAGTGGGGAGCAGAACAGGCTGACTGAAGAAGAACACTGCTGAGGGGAACAGCAGGCAGGTCAGGAGAGGTCTGCTGTGCCATGTGGGCCACGTCCTGCATGGCGGGGAGAAGCACTACAGGGGGGGACCCAGAGGTACCTCACCCCCTAAAACACATAAGCACACAGTGATTCTTTATAGCAGTGATCCAGGGCTTGGACTTGTTTCTTCCTAACAGAGAATGATGAGCAAAAGTAATTCTGACTGCCCCTTTGCACACAAAAACTGGTGTCAACACCATACTGTGAGAATGCGTGGCTCCCTCTCAGCACCCCATAATTATTATACGAGAACCCCAAACTCCTCCCCTTTGGTCATTTTTAACCGGGTGTCTCCTGTATTCCAACCATGTTCTACTTTTTCTTCCACACCTACTTGCTGACTACCAAAAATCCAGTGAGTTAAAATGTGATGGGAAGCCCACAGGGATTACAACTGAGGTGGGAAAGGGCACAAAATGATGTAAAAATAAACTTTTAAAAAAAGAAAAGAAAAAAAATGTATCCCTTCCAGCGTGGTGAGCCCCTCTTTGTCCCAACATCTCAGGAGAAGCCCCCTTTCTGTCACTTGTCTGTGTCCTCCAGCTCCAGGGTCAGAAGTGCTGCTTCTTTGTTTTCCTATTTACCACTTTAAGTAAAAGACCAAGGGTGACATGCAATAAATCAGTTCTTTTGAAACTTGCTTAAAAGCCACAAATTCTTCTTTGCAAACTATTCTAGAAGTTGAGCAGCTGACCTAGAAGCAGAGCAAGAGCCCTGGACTTCTCTCCTCTGCCAGTGCCCACTCGCCCCCCGATCCCTAGACCCCTCCACCCAGAAGCACCTTCCATGGCCTAAGCCAGGATTTGAAAAGTATCCTTCTTCAGTCATTGTCTTAAATTAGTCAAATACATGCACAGATGCTGCTCTGATGACTTGCCCAAGATGCACCTGGACTGGGGGGAGGGGAGGCTGCCAGCAGTGCCACCAAGAGATAGCTCCTATAGCTATTCATCCCTGGAACCCAGTTCTGCACTTGGCATATAAAAGGTGGGTGAGGGGGGTCGCTGCCCAACACAAAAGGTGGTGAAAACTGTAAGTAAAGGAGTTTGTAAAGCTGCTCCTTACAAAAATCAGTCACATTGGAACCACCGCATTTCTCCTCCAGCCTAACTGGGCCCCTGTGTATTCCCTTCCTTCTCTTCCTGCTGGAGAAACTCAGGGGCCCAGGGAAGCCCCTTGCAAAGTAGAAGACCCAACTACCTCAGGCTCAGAGATGGAATATGAAATCCCATCAGCAAGTGTTGCGAGACACTAAAAATATTCCTTTAGGCTTTGTTGTTCTTTTAGGGATTTCTGGTTTGCTTTTGTTTTTTTAGAAAGGCTTTTTGAGGTTATGCAGCTGCCTAAAGAGGAATGGCTGGGGTGCCCTCTTGAGGCCTCCACCAGCCAGGGCTTCCACGCTGAGTGAGCCTGAGTCAGGACTGGATCCCTGGCCGCCATACCACCTCCTGGGGTCGCAGAGGGCCTGTGGCCCAGCTAGGGTGAGAAAGATGTTTCAAGGACATTTGTTTCAGGAAAAGAGTGCTCTACCTGCACCCACTAGCTCAGTCAACGTGCAAGGACCCCTGCTCTGGAGCACGCCCGCAGTGACAGCTCTGGGGTGAGCTCTGCCTCCTGGAGCCCATCAAGGCACACTGTGGGTGACGACGACTTCCCTCCCTCTGGTCTCATAAGCATCATGGGAAACCTAAAGATCAGTCTCCCTTCTCAACCCTTCTTGCCAGCAAACTCCCCACCAAGAAGGTCACTTCTGTCAGTGCCTCCAGCTCTGGGCCAATCCTCCATGACATGAAATGCGGAGAGGGCACTTGGTTCCCTCCTGCTCTTTTTCCTATCTGATGCTCCTGACCCACCAGACCTCTGGGTGAAGTTTAACTATCCCATCCTCCTCACCTCTTCATTGCCAGCCTGGCCTCTCCACTCTCCCTTGGGCATCCAGCAGAATGTCACACCCAAGGTACTTGAAGCCCACTGCCACTCTTCTCTCCAGATGTCTCCCTGCTTCAGTTACAAACCAGTTCTAGAAATCCACCTCAGCTCAAGTCCCTTTCCTACAAATAAGTGCCAGGCACTGAGCCACATGACACACAGTGCTGATGGAATCTGGGAGGGATCTCTCTTTTACAGGAAGGAATCAGAGGCGCACTGAGGTTGAACAACTCAGCTAGTTAATAGCAGAACTAGAACTCGATGTTTCTGTGGGCTCAGATGACAACTTCTTCAGGGCACAAAGAATGTGTAACCCTGAATAAGAAGACTTGGATTGTTCTTTGCCTGCACTCTACCAGACTTCATTTATGCCACATCTTTACATGAAAGATAAATCCTCAAATACTTCAACTTGTGAGCGCTCTATCCTGACCGTTTCCCTCAAGCCTGGGAGGCCTGTGAAAATGCCCAATTGCTGATGGTAGGAAGTGGCGAGAGGGGCGAGGCATCTTAGCTTATTCTGTACCTCACTTGAGCTCAGACAAGTTCAGGCAAGAACTGGACCAGGGCTGATTCCACTCCACTGTGATCCACTTTTCCCCAGTTCGTTCTATGAAAGACCAGTAAGAGGAGACTGTTTCACTTTGGAGAAAGAAGGTAGTAGACTAGTGAGACTCTTGTTTCTCTCTCTGGACCTTCGAATATGGGGTCAGCAAAACACCAGCCTTGGGTGGGCCAGTGGAAACTGAACTGGAGTCAAAACCCTGCTTTGGGCTGCCTGAGCGCTTGCGGCTCTAGTCCGTCCCAAAGGCAATGCCAAGTCCCTCTGAGGAATCCAGGCACGAAAGCAGCTGCTGTTCAGCCTGCCCCCTGAGGCCTCTGCCCTCTCCCCAGGGGTCACACAGCAGAGCTCCCCTGTTTCACCTCCCCCTCTCAGACCCACTCAGGTCCCTGGCCACAGAGACAACCGTTAGCCCAAAGACTGAAAAAAATGTTTTAATAAATACAAAAATCTCCAATAATGACTCTGCTCAGCTCAGGGGCAGCAGGAGTGGAGTCGGGGGAACCCTTGGTGCTGAGTGAAGATAAATTAAAAATCCCAACAAGCCAGTGACATTATGTACAAAAGGGGAGAAGCTGGTCTCCCAAGGCAGAGGCCAGAGGGTGACAGGGCAGGAGCTGGAGTGGACATGGCCTCGGTCTGCCCTGGCTGCCCTCCCCCTGTGGAGTTGTGGTTCCCAGAGGTAGTGGGGGAGAGAGAAGAGGAGCGAAAGGACTTCCCACAGGAAACTGCAGGTGCTCGGTGCCGCTCCTTCCCCCAGCCCAGATCCGATCCTCTTGGTCATGTGGCCCTCAGGCTGGTCCCTAGGAGGCTCCAGCTCCTTTCTCCAACTCTGGAACTGTCCTGGTCACTGAGGCCGCTGAAGAGAGAAGGGCATGGACTTTGGAGGAGGAAAGGGTATGGGGGTGTGCGGAGGGCAGAGCAGAATGATTTTGTTCTGGTCCCAGTAGGTCAGAATTTTCTTTGCAAGTCAGCACACACCAGCTATGCAACCTCAGTTTAGTTGCCTAATTCCTCTGAGCTTCAAGAATCCATTTGCAAAGAAAAGGTAACCAATAACAAGAGCACCAAGCTGCTAGGAGGTTGCGGAATGGCAATTATAAAGCAGATGGCACTGTTCCTGGCACACGCAGATGCCCCCTCCCTCCAGGCCCACCCCACAGTCCACAGCAGCGGGGGCCTGCCACTTACGTCGCCGAGGTGTACAGTGAGGGCAGCAGCGATTCTCCTTCCCTGGGGCGCAGGACAGAGGCAGAGAACAGTCATCCCGCTCACAGTGGGGCACCCCTGCCTGGTGCAGGACAGAGCAGATACTGAGGATCCCCAGGAGTGCTGGGGCGCAGAGGCCTTCAGCTTCTTCAGGGAGCCTGCCCTCTCTGGGAAGGTCTTCCCACCCTGGACTGAGTCCCTAATGACCACCTCCCACAAGCCCCCATCTCCCACTTACCCCACATCTGCAGGTGATGCAGCTCATCTCCCCAAAGGGGGGCACCGATGGATGCCAGCTCTGGCTCTCTGGAAACCACTGACCCGCAAAACGGCAGCCCCTGGGCCCATCAGCCTGCATGGGATCCCCCAGCTGAGGTCGGGCCCCTGACCCCACTGTTGGAAGGGAAGGAAGGAGGGAGGGAAGGAGAACAGAGTCAGCGAAAGTGAGCTCTGTGAGAGCCACCAGGCTTTATTTGCCTTTGAACCTCCAGCACCTAGCAGCTTCTGGCAATTAGCAGGTAATAAATTTGGATTTGGATGGATGGATGGACGGATGGATGGATGGGTGGATGGGTGG